CACATATAAGGATATAATGAGGTCTTAAGAAATCTGCATAATTTTCTACAGCAGATTGAAATAAAAGATACCGCTGAATTATGACAGTACATCCCAGTAACCAAGTATTCAATACTCAGCTGTTCAATCTAGTACCTGGTTAACTGGGTACTTGTAGCTGCAATAATGTAGCCCTCTCCGATTTTTTTTTAATCTGATGTTTTCTGGAGAGGGCTACAATTCCATAACATCTCTATAAGGCCATAATAAATATATTCCTAGATTCTCATCCCTGCCTGTCCCGATTTTTTACTCCTGAGGCTGTTTTTTTTTTTATTTCTGTTTTCTTCGTCTTAATTCTTAATTCAACAACCATTCAACTTTCGTTTTAAATCCTGTGAATGTCAGCATGATTTTGACAGCTGAAAAGATGGTAATTGCTATAATATATGTTAAACTAGGGTCATTGGTTCTGAAAGATTGGTGATGATGTGTAGTAAGAGATAAACGGACCTCTACCATGACTTTTATTCGGTTATTATAGCTAAATCTGCACCAAATGAACAGGTGAATAAAAATTCTGCAAAATGGAAAAAAATATAAAATAAAAACTGCCCGCTTGGATCTATTTTTCAAACAATTCGGATGAGAATCTAGGAATTTTTTTATTATGGCCTAATGGTGCAAATGTTTTTTAAATACGGGCGAGAGGGCAAAATAAATTGTTTTTACATTCAACTTACATCTAAAAAGACGAAATTTTTATTCATTGTCAACAACATACCAGGTAAATGTGAAAAACGGAAAAATCTGCGAGTTTACCTGTCGCTCTACTCAGCAACCATGACAGTTCACGCGTTTGAAATTAAGAATAACTCAATAAATAAAGTGTCGGTGTTTACAAATAATTGGGATTAATAGTATCACTTAACATCGATAAGTAAAACCATTCCATGTTTTATTTTTTCATAAACAGCGATATTTAGATTATTTAGATATTAATAAGGGAATTCCTAAAAAAAATCCACTCCTATAGATCCTAAATTTTCATTGGCTGTCCCAAAATAAAATCTATCAAGATTAGTAAAAATGGTGGATAAATAAGTTGTGATGTTGACATACACGAAAAATAACCGATATATGGATCGCTCTGTATATTATTGGATTGATTTATGTCTTGGATAACTACAGTTTGGGAGTCCAGGTAAGAAATGTTAATAAAATAACCATTTACTGACAATTTGATCCAAAATCTGTGCGGGTGTGAATTACTCCCGCAGTTGCACCATTATGGAGATCCTAAGGACTTGTAGCCCTCTCCCCCACTATCCCCCCCCCCCCAAAAAAAAGGGACAGGGCTACATTATTGAAGCTTAGGTACTTGTTGACATCTCTTTACCTTTACACATCAAGATGTAAGCAAAAAAGAATTCATCTTTACCCTCTATATTGTCTTTTACTCCAAAAAATTTATTTCAAAGGATCAAATTGACCTTTGAGTAAACATTTGGAAATAAATTAAGAACTTAGTCCAACTCTGTATTGTTTGAAATCTAATAAAATTAAAGAGGTAATAATGTTGTAAAATAATAAGTAAATGACTTCAAAATCATAATGTATTTCCAAAGAAGAACTGTAACATAGGTACAAGTAATCAAAGATTAGGTAGTGTAGATCCTAAATATATGCAAGGAATTAATTATCGCATAATTTCGTGAGAAGCACCACATGCAAAATAAAATTAACCACCTTTATTCTTACTGTGCAGAAATCTTTGTAAAATCTCATGATCAATCAACCATTCGCGTATTTTTATTCTCAAGATTTGACAGTAAATAAATTTGTGATAATAATTACTCGTGAAAAATAAGGACTCTACAGTAGCTCACCTCATTAAAGTTTCACACTAAACGAATATCTGTTTATTTTTATATAAGTATACAATGCTTACCTGTTTGACTATTCTTGATGTATCAGAAGAGGCCCTTGTCCCATCAGACAACTTAGATTTACTTCTTCTTTTGGAAATAACTTTCTGTAAATAATCAAAATGCAAAGTGTTCATCTTATTCATATAACTAAATGACTATCCTAGAAGAAACCAGCAAAAACATTCATTAATTTTTATGATCATGTTGTTTGAATTTCTTTGATACACAAGGTTGTTACAGGTTCGGATTAATAATTCAATTTTCAGTCTATTTAAAATCAGAGGCCTGTTCAATATAGTGAATATTCGTGTGCGCTCGTCAAAATTCCTTACACCTCGGTCTATTATTACAATGACTTATATATAGCCGTAACGGCAAAGTTTTACAGTGAAATATGTGACTTTAATTCATCTATATCATGTATATTTTGAAAGTCTCTTTCCTAAAAAATCCTTTATTAGTATCTATACAGACTATACTTGAAGACTTTAGCTATAAGATAACAATGTTCTAATTTAAAAGGGTAAAATTCCACATTTAAAAAGGGGCAAGATTCCAGTGTTAAGAAGATTCATTCTTTTCCCAATTTAACCATATTTCGCATCAATTTTCCCAATTCTGCAGACCCTGGACCCAGTTTAAAAATGGTAGAAAAACCCCTGCCTCCAATAGAAAAGTTCACAAGCACTCACTCTGTTGAACAGCCCTCAGCTAATGCTATATTCTGTTAATCAACATTATCAAACAGTTAACTGTGTTGTTGTTTTAACTTTGCCTCTGGAAGAGTTACCTCCCCCAATAAACATAATTTACATATTTTCTGTGATTTTTCCTTTCAACTCATCATATGCCTTGAGCATTATATCTTCTGTGTACTATCAAATATTGAGAGCAACATTCTTCTGTGTATTTGTGCTTCATAACAGAACAAGCACAAATCTAAATATTGTCCATAATGCACAATGGCCTAAATGGGGTATGATTCTTGGTATAATAGGCCCACATATCTGGCACGATTATCACAGTGAATAAATCAAATCTATTGAAACTAATTTATTGCTCTAAAGTTTGCAAATGCACAACAGCAATAAACATTTCTTCATACTTTTAAAATCTGTCTTCCTAGATTCACACTATGGATACAGCAATGGATGCTGCCTTTAAATTTGAGAACATTTTGGTTGGAGTACAAAAGAGCACATTTTAAGAACAATTCGTCAAAGTAGAGTTTCTTCTCTTTACCTTTCTTACTGTGTTTGACATTTTACCTGTGAAAGCATGCTGTTTAATACAGAAAGGGGCAATGGGTATCTTCATGCCATTGCCTTAAGCCTCCGTCCCAAAAACCAGCCATTGGATTCACTCCTGGTTAAGAAATAAATATTGGAATAAAATTTTAAAGTTACTGTTTACAAGTCTGCAATCACTTTTTTCCATCGAAAAACGACGCACAATACGAAAATACACAAATATCAGCCTCTGTCGAGACGGTATCCGCAAATGGAACCGAACGGAATTGTGGGTCAGTTACGTCATATCAACATTGACGGTGGTTTGCGAAATTTAGAATTCCATAACGATTTATAGCATGAATTCTTTTTTATTTTATCAAGAAATACATATAAATGAAATATTTTAGGAGTTGTGATATCAATTTTAATATATAACGTCGATTATTTGGAAATTAGATGGATTGAGCTATGAATAGTACACTGAATTTGATTGGATAGTCTTCCGATTTCCGCAGCTCAGCAAAAGGAAAAGGGGGGGGGGGGGAGTAGAGATTTATCAATATCTTTAGATATAGACAGAAACATATAATAGATATGTCTCTGATATAGAATAACAGTATCGAAGACAGGGAACTATTTTTGTAAATTACTTATTTATTTCTGAAAAATTTAAGGAGAATAGAATTCATTTGGAAAAAAAAAATACTTGCATGGAAAAAAAATATATTTATAATTGCATGAATAAAAGTTTCACATGCAAAAAGAAATTTCATTTGGTAGACAACACGTAACTGTTAACCTTTTTTGAAAATAATTTTTCGAGCATTAATTTTATGTATAACTTGTCTTTCAATACATAAAATATAAACATTTCATCAATCTTTGAAGCCGTGTAATCCGTTAATGGTTAAGTAGAGTGTTAAGAGCTCCATATAATCAGTTTTAGGTGCGCACTACTTAAGTTATATTGATATAATGAAATGATGGGTAGAATCTTGTTTAAATAAAGTGAATGGACATATTCGTAAAGATAAGAGAAAAAAAGAGAAAAAAAAATTAACTTAACAAATATAAAATTGGGTCATTGAAACGTTTTTCCATCGGAATTCATTCAGTAAAGTTTAGATGTTTTAAAGAAGTAAATAAGTAGATGAAGATATAAAATTGCATGTAATTAAATTCACATATATGTGAAGCCTTTCAAACAACTTATAGTTGATAAATTATCAAGGAGCACTGAGTTATATTCTACGATATAATTTACCCCTCCTTTTTTTCGGAAGGGGGGTATTAGGGTTACACATAACTTGGGTAATATTATGATGTTGTAAATTTTTTATTTACTAGGGGGAGGGGGGGGGGGTAAATGCAAAACGTTGTAAATTTCGCATCCCCCCCCCCCCGCCCTAGTAAATTCAAAATTTACAACAAACATGATGGTAATTTTATTCACTTGTTTGTATTTAAATTAGAAGCGAAACAACTTTAAAACAGGAGAAATTTAATTGTGTTCACTAAATGATTTATAGAGTTTTTCCTAAACAAATGACCATATGTATTTTTGGTAAGTTCGGTAAACCAAAATTTTAAAAGATTTTCCATTTCTCTACTTCCTTTATAGAAATATGCCCCAGGACCTTTTCTGTAAATTAAATAATTCAAATCCATCAAGTTTTCCAAAAAATCTTTTGTAACTTTATTTATTCTTTGTAGATATTTACCATATATTCTATGAATTTTAATAAGGAATCGATTAAGTTTTTATTTCATTTGATGCATTATTCAGGGATTATGCAAAAGGCATTATTATAGTCGGGCACGAATTTACAGAAAATCATAACTAATCGCGCATGCGCAATTCTCTTAACAACAGTCAACAGTGCGGTTTTGCTGGGAAAGATATGGTTTCAAGGAATAATTAATTTATTTGTTCTATTCTGATGTAATTTGGGGAATACTTTTGGTAAGACCTATTTTGGCTAGTTAAAGATGATTAAAATTAAGTTTCCGTCATCAAAGAACAAAACATACGCTTGATGTAAACAAGAAAATCGATCATAAATTGCCTTATTTTTTTGGACAAGGATAAGCCAAAGAAGATAGTGAGTTGCATGAGAATTCCGGCGTTTGAAGTTCTTCAACAATCTAAGAACATAAATAATTAAATCCTAACTATGCACATAAAATGCTATCACATTAAACATCTGTAAAAAAAAAAAATAATAAGTGTGTTGTTGTTTATTTATAGTATTAAAAAAACACATTTTAATAACAATTTATTTTACTTTTAGACTCTTTCAGATATGTACAGCCGTGGAAATACCACAGGACTCAGCTCCATGAGCTATGGTTCCAATCTATCTGGTGGTTCTCAGGCAAGAAAACCGGGACAGAAAAATAAGAGAGTCCAAGTGTGGGCCAGAGTACGACCAACATCAGAATTTGCTTATGATAATTTGGAGTTATTGCCAGATGGAAAAGTAAGAGCTTTAAAGAGATATAAATAAAAACTGATATGTATACCTCAGTTTACGGTATATATTAAAAATATGAATCAGAAAATAAAGATATGTGCTAGCTCAGTATTTGTTATTTTCAGCAGAGAGTGTTTTGTTTTTGGTCACATTAAAAACAAACAGTTTTAGTTGACAGATTACTATGGCTATGTGTTTTTACTTTGATATTTATATTTCAGAGTATTAATGTTCATCAAAGAAAAGATACAAGAAGAGGGGTTGTAAACAATCAAATTCTGGACTGGTCATTTCGGTTGGATGGAATTTTTCACAATGCATCCCAAGATCAAGTATTCGAAACAGTAGGCGCAGATATCGTCACCTCAGCCCTGGATGGCTATAATGGTAAGCTATCACCTCTCTCTGTCTTTTATCTATTTGTTTAAATAGGGAATAAAAAGATTGCATTTTTGTGTAGATTTACCATCTTATACAAATCTCAATGGCTAATGATAAATATAGTATATATATGTTGAAATGTATTTTGTTTCATGCCTTGTAGGAACAATGATGGCATACGGTCAGACTGGAGCTGGAAAAACATATACAATAACAGGTGCCACAGAGAGTTACAAGCAGAGAGGCCTAGTACCAAGGGCATTGTCTCAGTTGTTCAAGGAAATAGAGGAAAGACCAGAATATGCAATTACTGTAAGGTAAGTCCTTGATTTAAAAAGGTATATTTGCTCTTTTTTCACAATTCTGCATATTTGTAATCACAATATATTAGGATGTTTGATTTTTCACTTCTTTTAATTTGCTGTAGATTAAACAAAAATAAAAAAAAAAATCAATTTTGGCATAAAAATGTGTATGAAAGAAGATTTTCTATAATATGAATTCAAAAGATTATAAGTGTTGTACAGTGTATTAAATTTTTGACTTTCTGTATTCTGAATCTCAAACGATTAAAAGTATTGCATTACCGTATATATTCGCCTATAAGTCGTTATTTTGGGAGTTAAATATTAGTTCAAAACTCTATGTCTGACTTATAGGCAAGTCATAAAGATTAGATATTGGTATTTTTCTGTAAAATGAAATGTAGCATTTCATATATATTTTAGACAATTACTAAAGAACAAAGTCTATATATGTATAATCGTTCATGCATTCAAAGATTATACATATAGATTAGTACAAGTATTCACTTAAATTCTAATGGTTATTTTGTGCATAAATTATTTGTTTAATGATTTAAATCTAAATATCGGCGTTATTTTGAAAAGTATTAATAAAAACAGCTAAAAACATCAGTACATTGATTTAAAATGTCAAATGATTCTGGCAAAAGTTATCCCGACTTACAAGCGGGTCAATGGCTAATATCCCTCCAAATTAACCTTAAAAAATACAACCAAATAATAGGAGGACTGACTTATAGGCGAGTATATACAGTAATTTTTTGAATCTGTGTTGTACAATTCTATCAATCATTTTAATCAAACTTTGCAGAGTGTCTTACTTGGAGATTTACAATGAGACAATGTCAGACTTGCTGTCGACGTTGCCTGAGACGTGGCAAAACAGAGAAGATGGTCAGGACCAGAACATGGTGGTGGTTGAGAATCAAGATGGAGTATACGTCAAGGGTCTCTCTTGTCATCTGGCCCAGTCTGAAGAGGAGGCCCTCAACCTGCTTTTTGAGGTCAGGGACAGTTTTGGGTCAGAGTTTTAGGGACAGAGTTTTGGGGTTTTCACGATTCCTGTTCATTTGTAATTATTTCTTTTATGATAAGTGTTGTAAAGAGTATTTTACCATGTAATTGTATATTCATTCTTTCTTTGGTTTCAGGGAGAGACAAATCGTGCAATTGCAGCTCACTCACTGAACAAGCAGTCCTCCAGATCTCACTGTATTTTTACTGTATATCTAGAGGTATGTTCACCATATTGGCTGTGAGAAAGAACATAATAAAGCAGAAGAAGACTACTTTTTAGCATTTGACACCTTTTTTATGAACTTATTTTTAGTATGAACTTATTAAGGTCTTCCGTTTCAGACGGAAGACCTTATAGTGATTCTACTGTTTCTTTTTATTATTATTATTATTATTATTATTATTTTTCTTTTCCCCTTTTGTTTTTGACGATTTCTCAGAGATGACTGGACGGATTCAGGTGAAATTTTCAGAGATGATATACAGTCAAAATATCTTTCAAATGCAGTTTTCAGTTTTTCAAAATTCACTTCCGGTCGTCACATATGTCCGATTTCCGTTTTTTTCGAAAAAAGTTTTGTCCGAGTCATATCTCAGAAACGGTAAGAGATTAAGACACCAAACTTATGTGAGTAATAGATCTTGATAAGTAGGCAAAACCAATCGGGTTAAGATTGTCCGTCGTCACTTCCGGTCGTCACAGGAAGTGATCAAAGAAATCGAAAATTTCAACTTTTCTTTTATGAAACTTTTTTTGCCTCACTTTATAGCATCTTATTTGTAGTTTCGAAATATATCAGTCACACCGGAAACAGAAAACGACAACTTCCGGTTATGAGAGAAGAACTGCATATTTTCAGTACTTTTCTTTCCCATAAATATTTTTTATAGTTAAAGTATTTGTAATGATTTTTGGATATGTTATTCAGAATGCAAATGACTACAGTAACGTCAAATTTTTTTGTAAAATTCACTTCCGGTCGCGTGATTTCCTGTTCTCAAAATGAGAAGTTATCATAGCTAGATCTCGTAAACGGTAAGAGATTAAGACACCAAACTTATATAAATGGTAGATCATGATAAGTAGGCAAAATCAGTCGGGATAAGATTGTCCGCCGTCACTTCCGGTCGTCACAGGAAGTGATCCAAAAAATTAAAATTTTTAACTTTTCTTCCATGAAACATTTTTTGCATCACATTATAACATCTTATTTGTATTTTTGAAGTATATCAGTCCCACAGGAAACTAAAACGACAACTTCCGGTTATAAGAGAAAAACTACATAATTTGAGTATTTTTCCTTCCCATAAATATTTTTATACATAGAGTATTTGTAGTGATTTTTAGATATGTTATATAGACTGCTTATGTCTACAGTAACGTGAAATATCTTTGCAAACTTCACTTCCGGTCGCGTGATTTTCTGTCCTCAATGGGAGAAGTTATCACAATGAGATCTCGGAAACGGTAAGAGATGGAGACGCCAAACTTTAATGAGTAATAGATCTTGATAAGTAGGCAAAAGAATTTGTGTTAACATAGTTTGCCGTCACTTCCGGTCGTCACAGGAAGTGATCAAAGAAATCGAAAATTTCAACTTTTCTTTTTTGAAACTTGTTTTGCACCACAAAATAGTATCTTATTTGTGGTTTCGAAATATGTCAGTCCCACCGGAAACAAAAAACGACAACTTCCGGTTATAAGAGAAAAACTGCATATTTTCAGTATTTTTCTTTCCCATAAATATTTTTTATAGATAAAGTATTTGTAATAATTTTTGGATATGTTATTCAAAATGCAGATGACTACAGTAACATCAAATATCTTTGTAAAATTCACTTCCGGTCGCGTGATTTCCTGTCCTCGAAATAAGAAGTTATCATAGCTAGATCTCGTAAACGGTAAGAGATTAAGACACCAAACTTGAATAAGTGGTAGATCTTGATAAGTAGTCAAATTCAATTGGGATAAAACCGTCAGCCGTTACTTCCGGTCGTCACAGGCAGTGATCTAAGAAATTAAAAATTTTAACTTTTCTTTAATGAAACTTTTTTTGCATCACATTATAGCATTTTATTTGTAGTTTCAAAATATATTAGTTTTACCGGAAATAACAACGACAACTTCCGGTTATAAGAGAAAAACTACATAATTTGAGTATTTTTCTTTCCCATAAATACTTTTTATAGATAAAGTATTTGTAATGATTTTTGGATATGTTATGCAGACTGCAAACGTCTACAGTAATGTATAAATTCTCGGTAAAATACACTTCCGGTCGCATGATTTCCTGTCCTCAAAATAAGAAGTTATCATAGCTAGATCTCGTAAACAGTAAAAGATAAAGACACCAAACTTATATGAGTAATAGATCTTGATTAGTAGGCAAAACCATTTGGGGTAAGATTGTCTGCCGTCACTTCCGGTCGTCATAGGAAGTGATCAAAGAAATCGAAAAAATCAACTTTTCTGTTTTGAAACTTGTTTTGCATCACATTATAGCATCTTATTTGAAGTTTCGAAATGTGTCAGTCCCAACGGAAACAAAAATGACAACTTCCGTTTAAAAGAGAAAAACTACATAATTTGAGTATCTTTCTTTCCCTTAAAATTTTGTATAGTTAAAGTATTTGTAATGATTTTTAGAAATGTTATTCAGACTGCAAATGTCTACAGTAAAGTCTAATATCTCAGTAAAATTCACTTCCAGTCGCGTGTCTTCCTGTCTTCAAAATCAGAAGTTATCATAGCAAGATCTCGTTAACGGTAAGAGATTAAGACACCAAATTAATAGGGATGGTAGACCTTGATGAGTTGACATATCCTTTGAGTTTAAGATCGTCCGCCGTCACTTCCGGTTGTCACAGGAAGTTATCAAATAAATCGAAAATTTCAGCTTTTCTTTATGGAATCTTTCTAAGTAATACATTATAGCATCTTTTTTTGTAGTTTTGAAATATGTCAGTCCCACTGAAACAGAAACGACAACTTCCGCTTATGAGAGAAAAACTGCATAAATTTAGTATCATACTATCCCGTAAATATTTTTTATAAAAATAGCATTTAAAATGATTTTTGGACGTGTTGTTCAGATTAACATGTCTAGAGTAACCTCAAATATCTTTTCAAAAATGTACTTCCGGTCATGTGATTTATTCTCCTCAAAATGAGAAGATAATATTACGAGATTTTTTACATGTAAACTGTAACAGATCAAGACACTAAACTTATATGAATAATAACCCATGAAGATTGGGCAACAGATATAGGGTAAAATGCGTCCCCCGTTACTTCCGGTCGTCACAGAAAGTGATGAAAAATAATTGAAAATGATTTTTGTAAATGTTACTAAGACTATAATTGTAAAAAGTAACGTCGAGAATCTTGGTAAGTTACACCTCCGGTCGTTTGTTTTCCTGAAAGCATTAAAAATATTATATGCCTTTTTTAACATAGATAAAAGCTCATTCATGCACATAAATAGAGGAGAACGGAAGACCTTCTTTGTTGCTGTAGCAACAAGAGTTTCTAGTTTATTATTTTTTTACAGACAAGATCCAGAGTACAGTCCAATGCTAGATACACCATTTCTAAATTGAACTTTGTGGATCTGGCGGGGTCTGAACGTTTGGGGAAAACAAAGGTAGTTATTAAGATTTATAAATCATATAAAACAATTTATTTATTCAAAAAGTGATATTGTTAGGAAAAGGGAAAACAATCAGTTTAATGAATTTGATTAATTGATGTACCAATAACTGACTTCCATATCTCTAACATCAATATTTCAAATACCATGGATTTGTCCAAGTGATTTGGAAGTCACAACTGTTTAGTCTCCAAGTATTTTACCTTCAATATCTCAAATTCTTGGATATTTCAAAGTTCTTCACTGTCCCATTGAATTGAGATAATGAGTTTTGACCATGTAAACTATTGAATATTTTTAATTAATTTTACAGTCAGAGGGTAAGACACAACAAGAAGCAATGTACATCAACAAGTCCCTGACATTTTTGGAACAAGTGATTGTGGCCTTAGCAGACAGGAGGAGGGAACACATTCCTTTCAGACAGTCTAAACTGACCCACTGCCTGAAGGACTCCATTGGGGGGAACTGTAATACTCTACTGGTGGCCAATGTGTGGGGGGAGGAGGCTCAGCTGGAGGAGACGGTAAGTGTTTATATACACAGTAAAACTTGTTTAATCCAAACACCACTGCTTCCTTACATTTATTGGCTGGATTAGGCAACATTCCAGATTACACTAAATTTAAAACAAATGAATTCACAGAAATAGACTTAAAGTTCAAGTTTTTGCTATACACAACATTCCGGATCAGAAAAAAGTTCACTGTACAAGAAAAGGAGAGTGGGAATGCGGAAAAAATTAATAGGGAGAAAAATGCTTATAACATAAATAAAAGTTTATAAGATGCTTAAAATAAAAAAAAAACTATCTTAGGAGACATCAGATTGTAAAAGTTAACTAAACAAAATTTAAAACAAAATTATTCTTGAAATTATATTGTATAGTGTTACATTGAGAACATAAAGAAATATAATGTAGAAAATGAATAGGAAAACTTATGAAATATGTATTATTTTGTTGTTGACTATTAATATCTATAAATTTTAGGTCTCCACTCTGCGGTTTGCCACCAGAATGATGTGTGTAGCCAGTGAACCAGCCAAAAATGAACTCTATGACCCTGTCGTTTTAGTCAAAAAACTAGAGAGGGAAATTCAACATTTAAAGAATGAGCTTGCTATGCATGATACATTGGTATGTATTATTATCATTTTTTTTTGTTGTTGTTTAAATTGAAAAAAAAAAAATCATTTTTTCAATCATGAATGTAAAATTGATTCCTTAATAATAAATTTATATACTTGCACTATATGAATCTTTCAGACAAATCGGAGCATGGTTTCCTATGATCCACTTTCTGAACAAAAAAGATATGAAATCCGACAGCAAGTTCGAAAATATATAGAGGGGTCTATAGATGAAATTGATGTAAGTAGAAATTCCTTAAAATATACAGTGAAAATAGCAGCTTTAAAGATACCCCTGTTTTATTAGACTGAGTGTCGAGTGAGTGATATAACTTTAAAAGTGTGATGAAAACTATTTCAGATTGTAAATATTAGGCAGATTCACGGAACATTTGAGGCATTTAAGGAAGTTTGCATGTAAGTAGTGACATTATATCACAGGGGCTGACAAATAGATTTTTAAGGTACTTGTCCAAGGGCAAGTACATGGTCAAAATTGACTTGCCCTACCTGAGGTTTCGCTTGCCCTACCATAAACTAATTCTGTATTTATAGATATTTCAAAAAAAGAGTAAGACAAATGCTGAGTAAATCATGCAAGCCCCTATGCCCAGCTTTAAATTTATGGCCTACAAATAAATTCTATTATTGATAAGTTGATAAAAATTCACTTGCCCACCCCTAAAATTCACTAGCCCTGGGCGTTGGGCAGTGGGATTTGTCATCCCCTGTATCATGCTTTATTGTAAAAAAAAAATTTGTTTTATTTTCATATTGTCGTGGCAAATACTCTAAAATGAATATTTGAACAGGGAAAACAAATTCTTTGTCACAAACCCTTTATATGAGAGTTATTTTTGCTATTAAAAATGAAGAATTTACAAAATGAGTTAGTCAAAATGTATTATTTTGCGCACCTCTTTTCAAGACTTTTTATGTGGTAATAAATTATGCTAAACTTAAGTCATTTATCAAAGAATTTGCAAAAATTTTACCCCACAAAAAATATTTTACCTTTACAGATAACTTCCAATGGTTATATTTGCTCTAAAAATAAATAAGTAATAAAAATGATCACTGATTCACATTAAATTTGAAAATTCTACGATGAATTTTATTTTACTACAGTCAGATGGAGTCTGACATTGAGCAAAGGCTGAGAGAAAAGTTTACTCTAATTGACAAATCCGATCCAGCTGCCATTGCCGCTGCACAACAGGTAAATATCACGATTTATCACTTATTTCACACTGTTCACATTTTTGATGTGTTTCAAGCATTCTCTTGTTGGGGCATTTGCATGAAAGACGTTTTGTTTTATGTTGATTTTTTTGAGTTTTATTTTTTTTATTGTGTTATTTTTATTTTAATAAATGATATTATTCTTTAGAAATAGCGTAAAAGATAATTTCATTTGTTTTTGAATAGAATGAATATGAGGTAAAAAACACTTTTAGTAATTTTCTTACATTTATATCTATTTTATTTTTAAGTTCTTACTTTTTATCTTTTTTACTCCTATTCACATGCTATCTGTAATAATAATTGTCAAGAGCACAAACAATATCCATTAGATGTTTAATGTTACAGACGATAACTGCAAATAATATCACTCTGTTGCTTATACATATCACAGTATTTCAGAAATGTCCGGAGTCTATTTTACAAAATGCATGAAGCTTTATTAAGGTCATGCATATAACTGAATCATGTTTAACTTGATGTAACAAAATTTACGACAAAATTCACTAATTAAGTTTAGTATTTTATTTATAAAATGTACCTTATAATAATAAGAATTTGAATTAATTAAGCATTCATTGAAATTTAAAGAAGCCATATAAGAATTAATTTAAGAAATTGAGTTGAATATCTTTAAGCACACTTTCTAAAACTTTTTGTGATCACAATATTACTCAGAGATTTTTTTCCTTTCATTTAGATTTTATCTCAGTCTTAAACATGTTCATATTATAATATAGTCATAAAGATGCTTTGTACAAAAAGTTCTTGCATGATTTATTTTATTTTTTTTTTTATATCAGAATCATTTTTCTTTCATATACATGTACCAGTAGTTTGATTTTTTTTTTACCAGCAATATTTTACTTAGCTTTGGAATTAAGAGTAGAAGGTTTTTCTGGAAGTATATATATATGTCTATACACTGTGAAATCACTAATTTTCATGGGTGTTTAAATTTTCTTGTTTATTTCTTTTATGAAGATTCCCACTAATTAATGTCCTCCACAGAATTGTAATATTTTCAGCATTAACAAATTGACACTTTTTCCAAGCAATTTCCCATAAATGAAAAACCACAAAAATTTGACCCCCACTAAAAGAGTGATTTTACAGTGTATGTCAGCAGACAGACATGTTATGATGTAAACCAGTTTATATAACTAAACTTACAGTTTCCAAATTATACTAGAAGAATCACTGGAGAAAATACAGGAAAATATTGAAATCTGATTTCATCCTATCCTTTCTTTAACACAGGCTGGAGTGAACATCACAGACGAGGGGGTCTTGGTTGGGGATACAGACGGTCAAGGATTCGGAGTCGGGGTGGCCCCCAAATCGACCAAAGCTGACCCCTCAGCTGTTGTCCAACTTAAAAAGAAGGAAAAAGAAAAGGAAAAGGGGGGTAAAAAAGGGAGGGATGCCAAGAGGTAATTTGAATTATATGCACTGTATTGTGTGAGGTATTCATTGGAACTGTGATAGTTAGTGATGACTGAAGACAGATGACTTTGTTAAGTGACTTTGGGTTTAAACATAGTTAACTCAACCCTCCGTATCTAAAATACACAACAAAAATGTTTTAAATTATGAAGAAAAGAGAAATTCAAAAATTTTATATTAGACCCTTTCCATAAATTGCAATTACAGTTTTAATATGAGAGAAACTGCTGAAGGCTAATAAATAAAATACATGTAATTACCTTCATGGGTTAATTAAATACTGTAAAAGTAAGTTTTCATGTGGTGTTGATTAAAACTGTGATTCTACAGAATGGAAAAATTGTGTTTACAGTTTGATTACTGGAATAACTGACGTTTTTTTTACATTCCTGCTTCAGTCCTGTTGGTGGTAAGAGTGTCAGCAGTCCTTCACACAGTGCTAAGGGGGAGAGGGAGGTGAAATCACCACACCCATCAGTGGAGAAAGACCGGCCTGATCACGAGGATGCCCCTACCCCCGTCAGCTCTACAGGTCCTCCCAGGGCTGACAAGCTCATCCGCCCAAGGTATGATTTTCCAGTGATTAGAAATAGGCATAAAATTCTTTTATTTTCTCAGTAATACATATACACTGAAAATAAATGGGGCATAAATTTTTGCTGGAATAGACAAGGTTATCAGAATTGCAATTTTGCTTTGTAAAGAATGTTGAGAATCATTAAAATAAAGCTTGCAATGACAGTGAAATGGATTGCACAGGTGCTGGATTAGAAAGTTTCTACTCTATATCTGAATAAAATTTAAATTTTTTCTTTCAACTTTGTAGCACCCCACCTAGTCGCACAGCCAAGTTTGAAGAGTTCAAACAGGAAAGAGGGGTAGAAATCAACAAAATCCTTGTAGAAAATAAAGAGATTCTAGCAAGCAAGAAGAAAGCCTATGCAGATTTAGCTAAACAAATAAATAACACAAAGATAGATATTGATGCATCAAGAGAAAAATTGGATAGACTGAAAGAAGAAAGAGAGGCAAATGGTAAGTGTTATACTTGATTAACAGTCCCTCATATTAAAATGATATTTCAATGTTTTCACTGATTTTTGTAATAGTGTATTTTATGATGGCCAGGGTTAAACATGTTTGCATTCAAGACAGGACTTTAGCTGAAGAAGAATAAAAATAAATTCACAAATAATACATGTACAACCTATTGTAAACCAGCTCATCTTTGCTGGACCTTCATTCGAAATTTCACATTTAGAACAAGGAATGCAAGGAAACTTGTTTTGATAATTCTTTATTATTTCACAAAGTCTACAACTAAACTACAAACTCCTTAGTCATTCTTTTTTCTCAATAAGATTCTTTCACCTTTAACCTTTGTGAAAATTAGTTACATACAATGGAAAATCAGATATATTAATTTACCATTATAAAGCACAATCTCTATATGGGTGCCCAAAAACTCGTATATTCTAGCCATCTTTTATTTTCTAAGTTTTGTTTTCCTCATTTCACAGGACCTCAATACAATGAGGACGGTGATGTCATTATCAGTGAGGAAGAGTTCCTGGAAATCAAGAGATTAAAAGACCTCAAACAACAGTACAGAAATGGTTACGACGAACTGAAGAACCTGAAAGCTGAAGTCCAGTATTGTCAGAAATTGGTTGACCAGTGTCGACAAAGGCTCATCAATGGTCAGTTGTCTTTTCTTGTTTCTGTAGAATTATCTACCTTTGAAAAATTAATTTTTCATAGTGATTAATTGTAGTTGCAGAATTGAATTTATCAGTATTACATCATAAATCCATATTTTGGCAATTTTTTTAGCAAGGGTTCTGAGATTGCTGAAATAGAACATTATTAACCTTTATTTTGTACCAATTGTCTCTTGCTAAAATTACTTCTCACTAAAAATATGTACCAATTTTTTAAAAAGATTGCTAAATTTGAGTTTTGATAAAATTTCTTTTATATACAGTAGTATTATTCATTATTAGTTGTAGATAAGTTTTTAAGATTTGTAATAAAGTATGTTGTTTTCCTGTGCTTACAGAATTTGACACCTGGTATGCAGAAAGCTTCCTGAACCAGACAGATGACATCTCCAGCTCAGCGGCCGGTCACGGAATGAGACCGGGAGTGATCCTGCCATTCAATCCCAACCAAGTGGTTAGTTATATATTTAAAAAAAAAATCATTAAGGATAATAATGTATAGGAGATTAAAATTTACTGAATTCATATATGAGCAAAAGTGAGGATGTCATACAGTTTTTCTGTTAACTGTGATTTGTCAATATTTTAGCCTGAGGATGAACAGGAGAAGTTTGATCGCCTTCAGATGGAGCTACTGATGAACAACCCTGATTCTGCCGCGTACTATAATGCACAAATGAGGACACAGAGACGGGTAAGTACAGACTACCATGTAAAATACTGTAAACAAACTTTAATTTCAGTACTAGAAGTATCTGCATGTTTCACAAACTTTTAAACTTTTATTTGTGTACATGTACTAGAAATAAATGCATGTTTCACAATCTTTTTTTAACAAGCAAGTTTTTCTAGCTGGGAACCAATAATTCATTTGTGTATTAACTATATTTATGAATGTTAAAAGTAGCAAAACCTGATTCCAAGTCTTTCATTGATCATGAACTTTGATGTTTTTTTTTTCTTCTAGAAAACATATGAACATGCCATGTCCCAACCCCAGCCTTCACTGCGCCCCTCCCCTGGAATCCCCAAAATGACCGTCAGGAACAAACCTCCAACCATGCTACAAATGTCCAATTAGACAGTATTAATTTTAATTGCAACTTGGATCACTTCTGTAGTTGGGGGATTGGATTATTTCTTTCCTATTCTCATGACAGTATATTTACCGAATTTTTACATAGATATCATTTTTGATGACACAATGCTAGTACTTAAAATTCTTTCCACAAATATTGAAAATCTTTATTGTATACAGAAGTCTATGTACTTATGAGTCTATATAAATACCATTCAGGTATCTTGTTATTTATATCCACTGTACATCAATATTTCAATGTTGATATATATTTTAACTTTTGTATTATAAGTATATATTTATATGTTTTATTTTCTGAACACTGTTATCACACGGATCTAGTGAGAATGGCTGTGCATTATGTGATTGGATAAATGACTTCTTGCAGTTCTGTTCAAGATTTACATTTCTGTGATAAGGTTTTGTGTGGTATGCTTCCGTCCTCTTGTTTTTTTTTTTAAACCTTTGGAATATAATGTAAAATGTTAAAAATAAAGATCAGGATTTAAAATTTATACATTTTCTGCTAATTATTCATTATGACACACATAACATGTAAGGGAAATGTAAATGTCCAACTCATGGCAATATTCAAAATGGATCACATTCAAGTTCAGAATGCCTGTACTAAAACTTGAAAACTGATTGGGGGTTAGAGTACCAAGTTTGCTGTCCACTATTAAGGTTCATTGATACTCTAATAAGAGAGATAACTTTTAATGACATAAATGTCTGTTATTCCTTAATAGATTTGCCAAGTTGAAATGTCTTTTTTATCCAATTTTGCCTCGCAAGCTATGCTATAATTGTTTGTATTTTACTTGTAAAATATATTTCTTTTGGAAAATCATTATGGTTCAGGCAACATTTTATATCAGTGAGCAGAATGTTTATGAACCTTAAAAGAGATCAACAATATTTCAAGGACAATACTGTATACAGGGAAATTTTCGCCCCAGTTTTATTTTCGCTCCTTTCGCCCTAGCTTCAGTTAGGCGAATTTAAAAAGGGGCGAAATCAAAGAATACTGTATAATTTCTTAAACAAAACTGTGACTGGGCAAATTCAAAGCGGGGCAAAATTGTTTGCAAGGGTGAAAGGGCAAAAATAAAGCGGGGCAAAAATTACCCTGTATACAGTAACTTATGTCCAGAGTAAACTGCAGAATTTTGATCTTGACATCAGTAAGGGGTTATATGTGCACCAAGATATTGAGATATTGAATATCCTTCTCATCTGTTTGCAGAGAAGTTTGACCCTTGATGCAAGAATCCAATAGTGGTTATCTAAACCTTAAGGGATGGGGGATGCAAAAGTCATGCAAAGGGTTTTAGGATCAACCCCAGGTGTGATGCACTCCTGGGATCAGCCCGTAGTGTGGGTTCTATTTCTAGCCTTTAGGGATCAGCCCTAAGCTATGTATCTTGTTTACATCCTCTCGGGATCAGCCAAGAGGTCCGTCAGGTTTCCTTACGTGCTGGGATCAGCCCCAGGCATAATCACTCCTGGGATCAGACCGGAGTGGCAATTTGTGCTTGCCTCTAGGGTTCAGCCCTAGGCAATGTTTCTTGTTGAGTGTCCTCTTGGGATCAGCCCAGAGGTTTGTCTTGTTTGAAGCCAGCTGGGATCAGCCCCAGGCATTGTGCACTCCTGGGATCAGCCCGGAGTTGTAATTTGTGCTTGCCTTTAGGGATCAGCCCTAAGCAGAGTTATGTCTAGTAGATCAGGTTGGAGTGGCTTTAACAGTTAAGAGTAGGAAGGAAAGGTACAGAAAGTATGAGTAGCCCCCAGAGCGCCAAACAAGTATTGAGTTTTGTGATTTACATTAATGTATATATTTTTTCTATGAGTTTCAAGTGTTTGTATGGATTTGATATGTTAAATATTGAACCAACTGAACCTCGTAAACCTTGTTTTGTTTTGTGTATAAAGATGACCTATAAAAGACAACAGGAATCGTACCTTACACAGACTGACAAAAATCACAAGAAATTGACATCTTTTTAAAAATGAATTTTAATAAAAGTAAATTTTTACATTTAACTATCTGGCTTGTGCAATGAGAAAACTCTTGCTGTATTGTCCTCTGAAACTGATACCAAAGTTTTTCCATCACTGAAATAGAATTTTTAACAAATTAACCTCAGATTCTTGTACTTACTTTTCTTTTTTTTTACAAGTACATGTAGTAAAACTTTCCCAAAAAATTTTCAAAAGAAAAAGTTATGCAGCAGGTATTTGGAGAAGCTCCTTATTAGTGTTCTAATGCACCTGCATTAAATTTAAAACTTTAAACTGTATAGTAAAACTTGTTTAGTATGAACACGGATATTGCAAATTCATGGATATAGCGAAGTTTACTTTGATCCCCAACTATATAATTTTACGAATTCCTTATACGGATATAACGGATTATGGATATAGTGAATTAATTTCACCGGTCCTAATGACTTCGATACAACTGAGTTTTACTGTGGTTATTTTTCACAACAATTTGAAAATATACACAACAAAAGCAGTATCATACTTTGACAGATCAAAGTCCAGCAGTGCGTCCTGATGCCCCACCCACTCTGAGGAGCACTTCCCATTCCTAGCGTCCCACAGTCTGATGACCCCATCCAAACAGGCGGTGTAAACCAGGGGGGAGGCTGTGTCCCATTTAACCTTCACCACACCTCCCTGTAGTAATTAAATAAAGTTACAATTAGTCTTGGTATGAATGTGTTCAAAGCTATTACGATTTGTCTTAGTGGATTTCAATATGTTAAATGTATTACAGATTTTCTAGGTGGAATTCCATGTGTTCACTGTAGGTATTATGAATTGTCTGTGTGGACTTACAATGTGTTCATAGATATAAAGATTTGTCTGAGTGACTTACTATGTGTTCACAGGTGTTACGATTTGTCTGAGTGTAATTACAATGTGTTCACAGGTGTTATGATTTGTCTGAGTTGGACTTACAATGTGTTCACAGGTGTTACGATTTGTCTGAGTTGGACTTACAATGTGTTCACAGGTGTTACGATTTGTCCGAGTTGGAACGTCCCAGATAGTCAGCTTCCCTGTCAGAGTGCCTGTGGCTGCTAGGGAGGATTGCCTAAAGAAGAAACCCTCTTGTCTTCATATTATTACTATGGGGACAGGGGGAACAAAACCATGGAAAATTGGAATATAAATGCAATAATATATCTGAACTTACGAGTCTGAGAATGCACAACTTTCCACTGAATTTTCTTCCTCTGAATTTTCTTCCGCACAATTTAATGTGGTCACTACCTATACAATGACATATGGACACAAAATTATTTAAACTTGCACCATAAGTCTATGGACCACAATGCTCACCTGAGTCAACATTCTCTTCCTGACAAAATGATTAAACACTGTTTAGATGAATAAATGGCATGCCCTTTAAATGGCATCAGATTTCTATTTTTCTGTATACTGAGGCTAAATGTTAACTTCATAAACTGTGTCCTTCTTGTTCTTGAAAATATCAACACATATTTCCATTGTGGTACAAACCTAGTCAATGAGATTTTGACAATGACAGTTAGCTATAGAGATGTACTGTATTCAGCACATCCATACACTATTTAATTGTTCTCTGAGTTTTAAACTTACTGTGTCTTTGGTGCTGTGGATAACCATGAATTTTACACTAACCTTGCCTGTGGTGCTGTGGATGACCTTGAATGTTACACTTACCTTGCCTGTGGAGCTGTGGATGACCCGAGTTTTACATTTACCTTGCCTGTGGTGCTGTGGATGACCCTGAATTTTTCACTTACCTTGCCTGTGGTGCTGTGAATGACCCTGAATTTTACACTTACCTTGCCTGTGGTGCTGTGGATGACCCTGAATTTTACACTTACTGTGCCTTTGGTGCTGTGATTGACCCTGAGTTTTACACTTACCTTGCCTGTGGTGCTGTGAGTGACACTGAATTTTACACTTACCTGGCCTGTGGTGCAGTGAATGACCCTGAGTTTTACACTTACTTTGCCTGTGGTGCTATGGATGACCTTTGCTGTGGCATCTGTGGACCCTGTCAGTATCAAGTTGTTATCTTGGTGACAGTCTACACAGACCACAGATGAGGTGTGAATGTCTTTGCCTGAAGTATACAAAAGTACATACCGTAAATATAATGTCTTTGCCTGAAGTAGGAAAAATGCATTAATACAAAGTAAAGTAGCATTCCAACATTAAAAATTCTATAGGTAAGTGATAGTTTGTTTCACATTTTAAAAGATTAAAATTCTATATTAAGTCAGTGACTGGTTCACATTTAGGTAAATAATATCAAGTTTTTGAAAATTTCCCCCCCCCTCCTCTATACGAACCATTCACGTGATGTAAACATGTTGCTGTTTTCATGTCCCAGACTTTAACTGTTCCATCTTCATATCCGACACACAGTCTCTTTCCTAAAAGAAAATGGGTAAATACCAATATATACAAGAACATTTACATTTCCAATGTCTTTGTCGGAGATAATATTACAAATAGTAAATGTACTTTATATCCCCATCAATGTATTGGTTCATCAATAGGCATGGTTAAAAAAAATCACGTGCAGGGCAGGACAAATAGCTAGACAGAAGGCTGGGCTTGGTGCACCTGAATTGGCAGAATCAAAGCATGTAAATATAAGGAATAACTGTCTTATTTTTCAATTTCATGACGATTAGCTTGCGTGATAACTTTATGCATAAACGCCTTCGGCATTTATGCAAATTATCACGCAAGCTAATCGATTGATCTCTTCATGAAATAAAAAAATAAGACAGTTATTTCTCAAGTTATTTCAGCATCTATAAATTAGTTTTTGGAGTTCTGCATAAAATTTGAAAATTACTACATCTAAAAGACTCAACCAGACCTGAATTAGTTAATTTCTGTTAGCTTGCCCAATTCTTGAATCAAAGAAATAAAAACTTACTAAAATAGTCGAAAAATGTTACACAACTATTCCTTACTAACCATCTGGCAGAAGACATCCACTTCCTGACGAAGATCCGTGTCCCTGAAATGTTTTACAGTCACCACTGGGAATCTTCCACATCCAAGTGTCTCCATCCTGTGTACCCACAATGAGGACGTGGGCAATCTGGTGCCACTGCATCCACTGAAATAATGAGCAATTATTACTGAAGTTTTGCTGGTAAAATATTGCTCACTTATGCTGGATAATGCAATGGCATACAATCTTAATATTCAAGTGTTTTATTAAAATTTAGTAGTTGTAGCTTTTAGTTGGATAAAAATTTTGTTGTTGCTTAAAAATACTGTAAGTTTTGTTGTTGCTTAAAATTAAATAGATATTGTTTAGCTTTTGTTACATTCATTTTGCAAAAATAAGCCCCTCCGGCTTCTGCTTAGTAATTTAGACCCAGTAATATCTCTATTTACATTTATAAGATTCTGATTTTTATGATCTTATTGTCTTTTTGTGAAAAAAGCTTGTTATGGGTCCTGGACTTGATATTCGACATGATCAAAAC